AAGCAATATATATAGTGGAACTTCCTGCTGCTATTAAATAACAAGCAACTAAACTAAGAGATTTTGCTCCGAACCAAAGCATAAGGAAGTCTTTTACCCAACAAGGCACAACCATAAATGCCAATACTATCATTTTTTTAAATCTACTAATAGAGGTATCATTTTCGGAATTTTTTATAGAGGCAGGGCCATCTTCTGAATCTTTTAAAGAGTTAGAACCATTTCCCGAATCTTTTATAGAGGCAGGACCATTTTCTGAAATTTTTAAGAAGTTAGAACCATTTTCCGAATCTTTTATAGAAGCAGTGCCATCTTCTGAATCTTTTAAAGAGTTAGAACCATGTTTTGAACTGTTACTTGCCATAATTCATTAATGATTGTCTGGAACGTGGCAAAGGCATAGGACACTAAATATTTAGTTAAGTAATACGAAATTTATATTTGGATGCATAATACAGTAGTTACATTTTTGATTTATCGATTAGTTGAATCATTTTATTGCATCCAAGACGTAATTTTAAAATTTTTAAATCTGTAATTTATTGTAACATATACATTAACACACTGACTAAAATATACTGATTATTAATAAACTTGCATGTCTTGTGTTTGTGCCTAAGTAAATAAAAAGATCATAGGTTTTAGTTTATACAAAAACAAAATAAATAGACGAAATTAAACATTAGTATAACTTAAACATTTACTTTAATAATTACAGCTCTATTAGTAACTCCTTATCCTTATCTACTAAATTAGCGCAAATAATATGAAGTTATTGTGTAAAAGTAAATCATGAACTTGAATATGTGTTTGTTGAAAAATCAATCCAAATTTTAAAACACCATTTGGTTCGAATCTGATATTGGTTGGCCCGAGTTTGGTCTGAGTTCAATCCGAACGTTCGGATCTGGTGTTGCCTAGAGATGGGCACTATGCAGCATGGTACTTAATCGTCACATATAATAATTTATGTAAAAAATTAACATCCGATGTGATTTTCATAATTTTAATCATGTAACAATTAAGCACCATGCTGCATAGTGCCCATCTCTAGTGTTGCCCATTTGTGGACAGTTACTTCATAAATATCTTATTGATTTGGATCAAACCGTATGATTTAATAAATTTTCAAAACTATAGTATCTCTGGAATTCACTCTGCCTGTATACTTCAATTAGAGATGGTTTTCAATCTAGAAAAAAAGTATGTGTAATAAATATAGTTAAATCATATTTGTAATTCGAGCGTTAGTTGAAAAACCAACTCGTTATAATGAAATTTTATTAATTTTTATCGCTCTTTCGATTTGGATATTTTACAGATCATTTTTTTATGAATCCCGAGATGGAAATGTCCCATTTTGAGATTTAAAAATTTTAAATTTTTAAAAGTTGATTTTTGATATTTTTAATTTACCAAATTTTGATGATTGATTGTTTAACTTAAAAGACATATCAGTTTAATAATTATTAATAATTAAAATTAATTAAAATAATAAATTAAATTATAATTTAAATTATTGGTTTAATTGTAAATATTATATTTTATATAAATAAGAAATAAAATTTCTAAAATTATATATGAATTTGTACATTGTGAAAGGCCTTAGAAAGTTGATTCAATGATTCTTTCTTTTTTTTATTATTACTATTATTTTATTTTATTCTATTTTATTTTTGCTACTTTTCTTTATAGTAACTCAGTACAGATATATTAGTATAGTATTAAACCAAAATAGGCAGGAAACCGAGATCATTACCTTAGAAAAGAAAATCGAATATATCATATATGTTGAATATATCGAATATGTCGAAATATGTCACATATGTTATATATATTGTATATATTGCATTTGTCGTATATATCATATATGTTAAATATATCGTATATGTTGAATATATTGTATATGTAGAATATGTTGTATTTAGTGAATATGTAGAATTTATTCAAAGTGCACACTCTAGTAATGTAAAAAGGTATAAAAGATCTGCTTTGCACTTTAATAAAAGTTTAACTCAGTGAGTTCCAAACATATCTGATAACCTTTGAGTCTTCAAAACCTTCAAAATTAGAGTAGAAGTATTCATCGATAAAGCCTTAGTATCCTTGTTGTTAAGAAATTGTTCGTCGATTTCATACTTTCTTGACCCTATAACTATCATCCATTAAATTGTCGAATTTGGTAAAAGAAAGACTGTATTAGTAATACAAGTCCTTATATAATAAAATTACCCTTTGATTAAGTTTGTGATCAATGACATTGTTCTTGATACGTGACCCTGTGATACCATGACCTTGTACCACATTCCGATTGGCTAGTTTTAATCACAAGACCCCACCACAATATCTACGAAAAAAAGAATTTAAAGTATTAACAAAGATGTTAAGAAAAATAGAGTCCTTATTAAAGAAAAATCATAGCACTCTTATCTAAGCATAACACTACTTCTACTTACCCAATTCACCCTTGTTACTCAGACCAAGTCTATCTATGCCTTAATCGTTGCTTTACCAATATTAGGATTTGGTTTGAGTAGTTATAGTGTTTTAGTTAAAGTATATTAATTAGTGTTGGTATTTTATAGTAGTGAATTATTATTCATCAGTTTAGTAGATTTTCTGACACAGCCCACAAGTTCATACTTTTACAATATACACTAATTATTAATTTTGTATAATATATATATCAAAACAATTTTTATCAAAATAAAAATTGAATCTTTTTATTATTAGAATAACGGTAAAGGTTTAAGATTAGAGTTAAACAAAGTATATATTAATAGAAATTTTTAATAAAAAAATATGTTATTAATTTTATATATATATATATTTTTTTTTAAAATGTTAAGATAACCACTTGAGGGTTTGACACATTTTATTAACTTTAGTTAAGAATGTCAAAGCAGCTACAGGGCTATCTTTGACTTTGTTATATTAATGAGGG